CTAGAAAGAGTCATCTTGAAATATGTTCACACCCTTGTCAGTTAGTACACATTAGATAAAATCCACTATATTTGTAAACCAACCATTGGAGCCAGTTTAATCATGCACTGGAAGCCTATGTGGGAAATACATACACTAGTAGGAAGAAGAGAAAGAAGAGAAGGAGGAAGATTATTTCAGACATAGCATTCTGGTCTGAGATTGCTACATCATTATGCAACAAGCATATAACTTATACCAAATTATAATGCTGTGAACTCTGGACAGTGTGACCAGGAATTTTGGTCTGTTTTGTTTTCAGTAGTACAACCGGAGTGAAGTTTTTCTTACCAAATGAACTGGCTAGTTTTAAAGCTATACTGTAATATTTCAATCAGAAACTTGCAAATGTATTAGTTTCTCAGTTAAGGCCTGGCATAGGTTTTGAATAACAAACTACATTTATGCCAATCCTCAATAACATGTTTGGCAACGATATGTCTGTGAAGAGAAAAAAGTAGTAATATGAAAGTTTCTGATTGGGATATGAAATTAAGTCTGGCTGCCTGCTAAGGTGAGAGTGCACATCTTTTCTGAAGAATTGTAGGTGTTGCTAGTCAAATTTGTACGTTTTACTCAAAATCATATTTTTATGGAGGAGTTTTTCTAGGTTACAAATAAAGTTCTATCTGAGGAAAATGTTTTTAAAATGCAGGTTTTTAAAGAGTTTGTAATTCTGTATTGTTATTTCCAAAATACTGTTTATAGTATTTTCAGAAAACTAAGTAATTTGTCTAATACAGCGGTTCTCAAACTGTGCTACGGGGCTCCATGGGTGCCCCACCTCCTCTGGGGTTTCTATTATTATTATTATTATTATTATTATTATTATTATTATTATTATTTGACACAAAAGCAAAGTATATCACAGCAAAAAAGGTCTATATGCTGCATTTCGTATCAAAAAATCACAAGTTGAACACTTCCCAAGCGCCTGACTGTGTGATGTATTTTCGAATGATGCATGCAGATCCACATAAGGTGGTCTTTTGCAGTTGACAGATTGTGATTTTGTCGATTTTTATTGTTTCCAAATGCCGTCTGAGATCACTGGGGCCACCTGCACTGGTTATTATTATTATTATTATTATTATTATTATTATTATTATTATTATTATTACAAAGGTTGTATGGCCATCTGTTGGATGTGTTTGATCGTGTTTTTCCTGTATCTCAGAAGGGGTTTGAACTGGATGGGCCCATGGGCATTCCACTGAAATACTGTTAAGTTTATGATGGTTAATTTTTTTCCTTCATTGTGTGTGTGTGTAATAAATATTTCTTGGGGCTCCACGAGAAACTTTTTCTCCAAAAGGGGCTCCACAGCTGAAAAAAATTTGAGAACCCCTGATCAAATAACACTCAAAAATGGGAGAAAACCTCTTTTATCTAGACAGATTATGACCTAAAAGTCTGTAAACCTGATGAGTGAGTCATGCAGAGAACATTTGGGGGGTCATTTTAAATCTTATACGCTATTTGCAAGATGTTATTTTAAAAGACATAATTGATCCTAAATGCTATAAGAATAAAAAGAATGATTTTCACCAAATTGGAAGACTCCTGAAATATTATCTGCCACTTCAGATCTCATCATGGTTGAAGACTCTTAGGAGTTGGGAAAATTGACACAAGAATTTTATGCTGCCTGAGTGTATTTAATTTCAATTGACAAATGGAGACCTTAACAGCCATTATTCTACTACTACTCTACTTATATTAATTAAATATCCATGGTAATCATGTGTATACTGAAATTGAGGGTACTGCTTTCACTCCAATTATGCATGAGGGAGATTAAAATTCGCATTGGACAATACTCTATTTCAGAAAGTAAATGAATAAGAAGGTTTGCCATACTGACCATCTCAAAATGAATTCAATCCAGGACATTAACTATAGCCAGTAGATCACTTAACTGAAGCCCAAATAAGTGTTAGAGAGTCATAGGTGCCTATGTCACCAGATGTGAAGCTTGGCAGCAAGTCCTGCTGTGAGAGCCTAATATAAAGGTTATCCTATATAAATCATTGTGTTTTATATCCTATATAAATAATTGTGCTTGCCACATTGCTCTGTGGCAAGCATGTAGGAAGCTACATAGATAATAATGCCTTTAAACCAGTCTGTACAACTTGGCAGTAATAAGGGTCTGAAATTAAACAGGCTCAACTTCTTATGGACTGTAGAAAAGTGTCTAGCACCTCATTTTCCAAGTAAAGGTATGAGATTAATGATTAATCTCATACCTTTACTTGTGTGCCTTCAAGTTGTTTCTGACTTAGGTCAACCCTAAAGTAATTCTATCACTGGACTCCAGATGTAGGATCTAGCCTCTCTCTCTCTTTCTCTCTTTGCTGGATCAGGGGACGAGCGATGGGAGAAAGAAGACCTGTGTGCCAGGACCAATGGACAGGTGCTGTCACCTCCTGCTCCTGGCATCCAGAGCTTCCTCCCATCTTCCCATCCTCACCTCTCCAGACAGACAGACAGAGAAAGAAACTAGAAACAGATCTGGAGTCCAGGTCTTCCAGCTGGTTCCCCTCCCCCTTTCTCATTCTGGAAGCACAGTGGCAAGGGGATGGAGATGGGAAGAAGCCCTGTGTACCTGGAGCATGGAGCTGAGGCTGGGCACAGTGCTGTAGTTGCTGCTTTGTCCTTCTGCAAGCTGTACCAACTCTTTATGCAGGATACACTCAGCCCCCGATTACATGTTGTGTGGGCCTGCTAATAGTGATATTTCTTGATAGTACCAGTTTCTTCCACACTGTAAGCTTTAATGGTTCTTCACTGTGAACATTATTTACATACTATTGTGGTGATGAACTCTCTGTGTCCTTCCGACAACACATATATGGATATAGCTTTCATCATACAAAGAGCAAACCTGTTGAAACCAATGCTTGTCATGCTTGATATGCTCAGTTTTATATGATTTCCATAGATCCGCTCTTAGGTATGCAGATGGTATATACACATTTATGAGTGGACCTCAAGTCCAGGGTAGATTTGGGGACAAAAGAATGTATTTTGATGTGACACATGGATAAGTTGAGGGGAAGAGAGGGAAGTGCAAGCAGCACCTCAGGGGCCAGAAGTGGTAGAGAGAGTGAAAGGGCAGGTGAATTTTTAAAGTTATTTTAGGATGGGCTACACTTTTACCTTTTACCACTCTAATCAGAGAAGAGAGTGGTTCCTTTCTGATAAAAGTTAAAGTACAGTACTTACATCGACCCATGGATAAATTGTCCCATTTTTTTTGGTCAATGTTTTAACTAAAATTTCTAGACTTATACATGAGTAATGGTAAGTCTTAAGTATAACTAAGTCTGCATTCAAAACACAGGTTTCACTGTGTACATTGTCCTATCTAAAACTGTGTCTTTCATAACAGTTAGGGAATATCCTGGTCTAACAATTTCTTTAAATGGATGGAGCATTTGGATTTGCTGCTCATGTACACTACATATAAACATTTAAAATCAATTTATTAGATTTTTTAGGTACTACGTGATGCTTACTGATTATGGGTTGCTAGATAAAATGAATACAATATTACCCCCTTATCTACAGATTCAATATCTATGGTTTCACTTAGCCATGCTGCAAAATTTATTTTCCCCCTCCCAACAAAAATAATAATAATACATGGTTCACTATTACCCATGGTTTTGTGTATCCACAGAGTCTTGGAATGTATTTCTCATGGATACATGGGCTGTACTGTATAACTCTGCCTGTATGATAAATGTGTCTTTCTAATATAAAATAATCACATAAAATATTTTTAAATGTGTATCATTAGCTTTAAAACTATCACGAACTCTATGGATGGGACAGATTGATCATTATGCAATGAAGTTTTAATATAATCAGTGGGATTCATGAGAAATCATTTCACTTTAATTAACTGCAAATGAAGGGAAGAACTTTTCAAAAGAATTACTTTCTATTTATCTGTGCTTAAATTAAAAGGTTTGTGAAACTACAGAACCCAAAGCTTCAATTGAGCACCAGTTATGTTAGCAGATAGTAATTTCCATAAAGATTTCATTGCAAACACCCATGCGGTTGTTTTTTCTAATTTGTTTCTTTAGCAGAATAGCAAGAGTAGACTACTCAAACAAGAAAAGCAAATGTTTGCTGATACACAGCAGACTATGTGTATTCTAGCACATGTGTTGAATGGCACCCTCACGTGTGGTATTTCTTCACTGTTGAATCATGGTTCCACCTGAGTTTTTCTCCAAAATTGTATTTTTAATTAACTGCAGAAATGGCTCCTGGCCTCACTCACTGCAGCTATAGCCTCGTTCACTTTTCTCTTTCCAGTCAAATACCTGCAATTCACACCAGTACACATGAATTAGAAGTTGATACACACTGAGCTCAACTGAACCTTTTGACATGAAGTGTAACGTTAAAATTTGAGAACAAAGTATACTCATATCCTCTTTTCATGTGAACTTCTTTGTATTGTTGTGTACAGCCATAGTTGGTACACTTGTGAAATAAAGCCACATCTTGAAAGATTTATGTTGCTTGTTTTATATGGAGTGTTACTTCATTGTTATCTCTTCAAAACTGTGCTCATTAATGAGGTGCTATATAACCCCAGATGTTGTTAATATGTTTTAACTATGGGATAGAAAAAGATTGGGAGGAGTGTGGGTTTATCTTCAGTTCCTGGTAGTTTTCTGAAGATTTTGAAACAATTTACCTTATGTTGAATTGCACAAACTCATTCATGGCAGCTAACATATCAAAATGTCCACCCTGTATTAGAAAATGGACATGGTATATTTTCAGAGGATAGTAAATTACAACATCAAAGTATTGGCCTAATTTCAAGGTTAAAAGAAAACCAAGAGGTTTTGAAATTTATAATAACCATTTATATTGTTGTTACAATAAGGGGAAAAACTTCTTTTGAAAGTTAGTCAAATTGATTTAAATTTTACCTCTCTGAGACAGGTAATACCACCGGGCGAATTCTAGGAAAAAGTAAGAAAACAATTTAACAAAAAAAGACTACAGACACTTTTATTAGTTTTCCTTTTAATGTAAAACTGGATGGGATCTATACTCGATGTAAAGGGAGCCCTGATTTCTAAATGATATGCTTGTTTGTTGATCACTGGATGTGACATTTTGCATTGCATGGCTCTGTTGACTTTCCAAGATGATGATATCAAATGTAAAACTTCCCTCTCCCTGGTATGAAACCATATGACAATGGATGACAAAACACAACAGGAAGACAGCATGCTACCAAACATGCAGCCATGCAGTCGGCAGAAAAGGCTCACAAGGTGAAGACAGACAGTAATAGTTTGAAGAGCAGCAGTTTAGAAATTATGATCATAAGGATCTTTCAAAAAAAGGATATTTGTCATGCAGTTGTAAATATCTTTCCTGGAAACTAGAACACTTTCAGAAAATACGGTGATCTAAGTCTTCTATTTCTAAGGCTTGTTTTTTTCTGCTGAAGGCAAAAAGAATGGTTTCTGCAAAGAAATAACTTCAACTAGATTTTTCTAACTGAAGTCAACAGAATAATTACATTTTAATAGCGGTAACATAATGCAGGTCACTCATACCTGGGGAAAAATAGTATGATTAACAATTAAGGGGAATGAAAATGGGTAGTTCTTTTTTTGGACTTAATTCGCACCACCATCGTATAAGTGTCAGTTCAAAGACCTGTAAATTAGATAGTAGTTAGTCACTGAAAAATGAAAGAAGTAGTATTTGTTAGCATATTTCAGTTAATGAATAGCCAAATCTGACTCAGCCTTGTAATGGAGGTATACAGAGGTAAAATGCAGCTGATGAAATCCAACCACCACTGTTTTTATGTTGTCATTTCCATTTATACATGGGGTCTCTAATACATAAAGTTTCTTTTCAAGCTTATCATCCTCTTCACTCCAACCATAGCATTCATTTTTCAAATTCTCTGAAAGCCACAGAATAAGTATTGCATGGATTGTTCAATTCACATTTTCTAACTTACCACTGACTTGAAATTGGACAAAATTTCTATTAACACTCTCAGCAGGGGCATTGACTGGTTAATCAACCACCAAGAATAAACACTGTCTTGACTATGAAAGAGGAAAATTCAGGTGTGGATAAGGGTTCGGGAATATGTAAAGAAAGTTTTACTGCTCTTCTTATGCCCACTTTTGATGCTCTTGAGAACTTTGATCACTTTGTATTGTTACAAGTAATTACAGCTTGGACATACCCTACATATATTGCTAGTCTAACTTCCACAAAGTTCACAGAACGTTTATACTAGTCATTGTGGGAACTTACCTTTGTTTCAATTATTTTACAAGCCAGCTAGCTCTTTGCCTGAACACAGTTATGCTACAAGTTTACGTCTGGCTTCATTTACATGAAAGATAGTTCTCTCCCATTAGAGTCATGTTGGCATCCTGGGATTTATCAACAACATGCAAGTAGCAAGAAAACTAGTTGAATTCACTGAGGCAAAAATTACCACCCTATATATCCAGGGTATGCATAAATATTAATATAGTTACTGAAATATGCTTAGAGTCTGAAACCAGGAAGTAATTTTCATTGGGATATGATTAGCTTATTTCCCTTGGTTTTTATTCCTTTTCATATGTATTATGTCCTACGCTGTACAGCTGTTGTGCTTTTTCTTCTAAAGCTTTTTCCATATTGCAGCCAATTCTAGCATGACAAAGAAGCTTTACCCTAATACACATCTTCTATTACAAGCTGTTAAGGATATCTGGATATGGTTGATTTCTGTTTCACACAAAATGCTTTAGGATGGCCACAATCTTCTGTGTATTTAAGTGTGCCCCATCATAGAAGATACACAAATGGATTCATTAAATAAAAGCCCAACATGCTTGATACAACAAGCTCTTCAACAAATAGCAAACACTTCTAAGTGAAATATGTTTGCAAATACATGGTCATTAAGAAATGAAGTATACTTTCTTTTTTTAAATAAGAGAGATTGGTTACTACAATTTTGTGGTAATGCCAGCATCTCTGTTTGACTCCGTTCTGGTCCATATAAAAGTCACCATTACAAAAAGAAGCTGACTTGCTTGATTGATAGCATTTTCCCTGCCTAAAAATATTAATGCAGATCCTTGTTATACCAGGATTTAATTTGTGGGAATAATCCTGTAAGGATTTGATAATGTTGATACTAATCATATTAGTACATTGTTCTACCTATATCAACATAAGTAGTATGTGGGAAAGATAAAAGTCCTCTTTTCATGCAATTCACCATATTATGTGGGAAAAGGGAGCAAATAATATAATTGTAACCACTTTCATTGTGTTGCATGCTTCAAGTTGTTTCTGACTTATAATGACCCTAAGGTGAACATTGCCACCATGGTTCACACACAGGAAAAAAAGGTGAGATTTAATTTAAACAAACAAACATATCATGATGTTTTCTTGGCAAGGCTTATTCAGAGGGAGTTTGGTTTTTTTCCTCTGAGACTGAAAGAATGTGACTTGCCCAAGATTACCTATTTGGTTTCCAGAGTTGCAATCTAATGCTCAAACCACTTTCATACTGTCCTTTATGTCTTTTGATGTTTGACCAATGGATAAATACATTATTCTGTGTAATGCACATACCTGACACCACTGTGGATTATATACCGTATAGATGACATTCAATCTAATACATAGCTTGTTATGTAGCTGTAATATTGTAATATTGTTGCAAGGACAAACATAATATTCTTACTACTACAGTAAAAATAACATTCAAGCCATATATGACATTTGGAAGCTTGGGATACAAAAATGCAAAACATATGGAAGCTGTCAGTCAGGGAAAAAGCTAGCTGAAGCATGAATAAATAAATGCAACAAATGTAACAAGGGGGAAATGGAGAAATCTTATTAGCATCCGTTTATACTGAAAGAGCTTTATGGTTGTTAGAAATTCCCTAACAGATCTCTACTTCCCTCATCTCATTTCTCTACCAATACCGAATAGGAATATTTCACTTGCTTCCTGTAGGACTGAAAATGCAATGAGAATCTGAATAAACTGGGTGCAATTGCTTCAATGTTTTTTTCTCTCTTTAGTCTCAGTCCATTCATGAGACGAATTATTATCTAGCTGTGGAAGCCAGGTGATTTATTGCCACTGTTTTGGCAAGGGCAAGAATATTTAGACCTTAATTTGAGTTAGGGCAGCTTGCTACAATTCATGATAAAGGTCCCAGATTGAAGAATTTCAACCTGTTATCTAATCACAACTGTGAGACAGAAATCCGGCCGCTGTTGTATTGACTTCTGGATTAGATTATTACACTATATTTTGCATGTCGTTCCTTATGACTACTATTCAAAAGCAAATGTGCATTTTAGCACAGTGTGACCAAGAACCAATTCTCAGTCCAAACAGGGTTTTTTAACTTCAGCCATGGAGTCTAATGGCTCCCATTACACTCCAGAAAAGTACTGCAGGGGTGACTCCATGGCTGAACTGTCACAAACACCCTGCCGCTGCCGCAAAATTGTTGGCAGCAGTTGATGGGAAGCTCCCTATCTTTCCATTAGGAAAGATGGGTTGGCCGGCTCAAGAAGGTTTCCCCCCATGCAATGAGGCAGGGGGGAAGCCAGGACAGAGCGGGGTGCCGGGCAACAGATCCCCACACCCCCTGCACAGGCACTGCCAAGATTGCCAGGATCTGCGGTGATACACAATGATTCACTGTCAAAAGTTCATGTGTTCAGCATGGCATGGTGGTATATTTTTAAAATGGTGCTCTTCAACTATAAAACATTTAGTGGTATGAATCTCATAAGACTATATGCTGTAATTATTTGAGTACTGCATGAGGCCTATGGAAGATCAGGGTTCAAATTGCTACTCAATCATGGAAACCCACTAGGTGACCATGACCAAGAAAATTATTTCAGACAATGATCAAACCTTTGCTGTTTTTCACACAAAAATGATGGCAGGCTGTGTATTGAAATCACCAAATAAGAGGCTATAAGAGGTTTAGATTTGTACAGACATAATAATTTTCCAACCTGCTACAGATATTGATTGTTAGCAATTAAAGGATAATTATAGCTGCTGTAAAGGGCACATTGTTTATCTTAATATCTGCCGCACAATGTTCTTTTTAAATTTTCATTACCATTCAATGACCATTGCTAACTTGTTTTTACACACACACGCACCCACCATGTATATGTAAATTCTGCCACGTGGAAATAACATCCACCTGATGAAATAAACTCTGGGCCAGAAGCATACCCTCTTTGTCACTAGCTAGGCACATGGCCATTCCATACTAGCCATTTTATATCAGTTATTTTATCTGATCTAGATCTTGCTTTAGATCAGTGGTTCCCAACCAGAAATCCCAGTTAGTTTACCAGTTTTTAGGAATTATAGGAGCTGAAGTCTGAAACATCTGGAGGACCACTGCTCTAGACAGACACAGTCAAGTAAACCATGATCTTGAGTTTACAAGACCTTAGCAGGGCTATTAATAATAGGGTTTATTAAAAGCCCTTCATTCATTAATTGCCATCAAGCCAAAGCTGTCAAATGTGTTGTTGTGAAAATAGTTTCCTAAGAATGTTTTCATCTATCATCAGCTGTAGTCTGTTGCAAAATAAATAGAACTGTTCTAGGTCTCTCCCTTATAGTCTTTCCAACATTGCACACCTATTACATCACTTCCGGTTCCGGTATGGCGGAAAGCAACAAGATCCTGAGCTGTGCCTGCCGTGATTTATAATCCAAGGAAATCTAAGGTGATCTGCCTCAGGACTCTTTAAAAAAATCTAAGGCGAGGGACCAGAATAATCAGAGATCTCGAAAGAGGCTCTGGAGATCCGGATCAACCCAGGAGAAGGGGGAAAAGGGTAGCAAAGGGGAGCGAGGCGAAGGAGGGGAAGACGAGGTAGAGCGCCGCTATTACATCGAGGCGGGCTGGCTCCCTCAATTTTT